TCTAACCTTCTTTTAAGATAACTGAGGAAACAAAAATCGTAAGAAGCAAGATGAGGTGAACAACGGGGATGAACCGTTAGTTTAATTTTTCTTCTTTAAGATAGTTAGTGGCAACATTTTTCGCATGTGACCTTGGATTGCCATAGCGGAGTTTGATGCCATTTGTTCCTGACGATTGTCTTTTTGTTCAATAACGTTTTAACTAATGTTTTTAGACATCCATCGCGATAATACGTAGTATGAGTACATACTCCAAAAAGTATTTGATAAATACGTAATAATCCAGTTACACAGGATAGCAAACAATGTTTTCTACTTACAGAGGCTTTCTCACTATAGTCGGAGGGCTTTTTCCTTCTACTATCAATGTTTTTGATTGTTGTACTGGTCCAGTTTTACGATGATAATAACCCATCCCCGTTGTTCACCTCATCTTGCTTCTTACGATTTTTGTTTCCTCAGTTATCTTAAAAGAAGGTTAGATGCACATATCCCGATCCAGCACCAATAACCAAATAACTAAGGCCACATCTGTTAATTATACAGTAAAACATTTGAAAATTAGATTGAAACGATGAAACTATATCCAACATCATAGTGACTACTTCTAACATTTGCTATAAAAAGAGCAATGAAATGCCTTTCTTATGAATAAATAGTGGAAAGGCACAGCACTTTTTGACTGACCTAAGTAGTTTGTGAGACAAACAATATTTTGATCAAGCACTTATGAAAGACTAGGATCTTCTCGATTGTATGTCGCAAAATGTGGGCTTACTACTCAAGAAGAAACGTGGCATTAATAACAGCGGGATTATGATTTCTTGTCGTCTCTTGGAAAAAAAATTGAGGCAACGCCCTTGCCAACAAAATCCCAAACACAAATTAGATAGATGACTTTTTAGAATGAGTAGGTAAGAACCAGATAACTTTTCTTGTTTCAAGCTAATACTCTTTCGTTTAACACTAGAATGGATCCGTGTATGATGGTTGTAATGAAACTGGCGCTGTTTGCTGATAAATCGAATGAAAAGGTGAGTAGTCAGATTGAACGGTAGAAGAAGATCAAACGTGATTTGGTTATTATTGTGGGGAAACAAACATCAGACATGGTACCTATTGTTATTGATATCGTTGCGGTATATATACACACCGTTTTGGCCATCACAACGAGCTATGTCGAGAAATAATGACATTTTAAATTAAAAGACCGGTGGCTATTTTTCGAATAAGTTTTAAGCAATGGTAACTAGAGAGCTTCGATATTCCCCATTCGAAAGAGGAGACTTGGGGTATGTATACTCAAGCGAAAGTTTATTCAGAAGGATTTTCTAGGAGACCTTTGGAAAACCAAACCGTGCAGAGAATTTTCCTAACAGGATCGTATTCATGGACTAATGAGTCGGGGTGTCGTCTTTAGAATGGCAGTCAAGGGAGACCTTGATTTTTCGCGGTTCGGGCGTTGCATCAGATTGTCTACGAGTACCAGAATTGGCACTCGATGACTATTTGTAGCTTTGAAAACGGATGGATTATAAGTAATCGATCACGCTGAGTCTTGTAGCAATATTTATTTTTAGAGAAAGTTTTAAAAATCAGCTTTCATTAATTCTGCAATAATATCCAGCAATACTAAAATCCAGCAATTTTTTCGTTTGAGAATTCATCCTGCTTCCTGAATGGTGGTCATATTGAAGGGTCTCTTCCCTCTCTTTCATGCGACTACCGCACTTCCACTATGCCCAGTAACTCATTCACATAACGATAGAGAATGGTAAAATCGTCGTTTAACAAATGAGCAATACAGTGTTGTATTGGTGGTGGGAGTTGTCTCTGCCAATAACGTCTTATACAAAGACACTTTCTGAAATTTGTAATTAACGAATTGGCAAGTTTTCTTTTAAACGTCTAATAATAGCTAGCTCTGAAAAAACTAAAGTATTCGGGATACCATGAAACCATTCTCTGTTTGGTTTTACCGGGCAACTGGTGAAGATCTTCCAACCGCCAACTTCTAAAAAAAGCAAGTGACTTAGGTTGATAAGCAATATGTTCATGACTACTTATTCAGTACAAGCTATGAATTCTTTCTTAGCGACAAACGATGCACGCGCGATTTTAAAAATGGAATGCATAAAACCAGCTGAACACGGTAGTGATCGGACATGAATTCTACAACAAACACTACACAATCAACGTCAACCACAGATCTAGTAAACATACACCATCAACAAGTCCAGTATATCGATAATAGTTGCCAAACGCATAAGCGTCAACCGATTCAGAATTGTGATACAGATGATACTGACGATGAATACGTCAATTATGAAGATTATTTGTTAACAATAACAAAGCACAGTAAATCGAATAGTATGCAATCATCAGTATCAACTGTAGAAACGCAACCAGAGAAACGTGATCAAAGTACATATTGTCGCACAAATCGCTACTCAGTAGCAGTTTACACAAAGCCGATCGACTATCTGATTGATCAGTAACACAAGCACAAACACAAACGTGTACAAATACTTTTTTTTATCGTAGAGCTACTTGAAAGGCCACCCTTGTTAATAAACAAAACTATCTACTAATGTTAAGCCATCTCTTATGGTCAGTTTATTAGTTTCTCATAATAACAACTCTTGGTTAATCATCATGCATAAAAATTATAGAATAATTGGTGCCGTGTAAACACTACAAATTTTTTTCCCTCACACGTCAACTGACGTTTTCATATACAAGGCTAAAACAGCTTCAAGTTTCTATATAAAGAATATTAAAACTTCTCACGTTTATTGCTCTTTTTTACGAGATTAGCCGATAGTAATAGGTTCTGGAGGAAAAATTCAAATGTTACGATTAAAATTCATAACAAAGATCAAATAACTTGTTTAATATCAAACAGAACAAGATATACAGCAGAAAAAACAACGCCATAGACCAACCCTAAATACAATGCATACTGATACAAATGTATACAAAGCGATGTATTTACAAAAACAAACAATCAGCATTTTTTTTTTGAACTTTGAAAATATAATAGAATATGGCATTCATTAACCATTAAACTTTCAGTTCATACTAATCCGCATTATAATAACAATTACTCATCAGATATTTTACATTTAAATATTGAGCGTTCCCCCAACTGAAAATTTTATCAGATATTTAAAGTAATCTATTGTAAAACCTTGTCCGCTTAAACTTTTACTACACATGTGACGAAACTTGTACAAAAGGTACAATTCGTTCTTCAACTTTATTCATTCAGAATGAGCTCTCAACTTCACGAAAATTTGTCCTATTTCTCAATAAGATTTTCAAAGTTTTCATTTTTGTCTGTTGATGAAATTTCAAAATTAAATGTAAATCTATGATTCATTTCGCTGTTATCGTCTGTAGTGATATTATTGCCACTATTTTGGTGTTTACGGATAAAACGCGATGAGGCAGGAATTTCACAATTTTTATTCATCATTATTTGAGTTTGACCTAAAAATATAATCGGTATGAAACCAATGTACTAAAACGGTACTTATTGGTACACACGTTTTTGTTCGACAGCCTCATCGTTTAGCATTTTTTGTCTATAATTTCCGAACATACTTTGCATTAATTGACGTTTCCGAATAATTGATGTTTTTGGATTTGTCAGTGTTTGTAATGTACACTGAGCGGCGTGTTCTAGAATAGAAAATATATTATATATCAAATATGAATACGTACAAAGATCATTGTTACTTTGTTCCTGATCATTTTTGCTATTTGATTTCGACATTAACATGTAATTAAGTTGATTTACACACCATTCTAATTCACGTTCGTAGCGTGCTGCACATTCCGGATCTGTCATTACTGGCAAAGACTTGAATAAAAATTAGAAATGAAAGAGTAAATTTTTTTTCTTCCGTGATAAAATGTCTTAAAGCTTACCGGTGGAGTTGATGATTGACCCTTTTTTGTTTTCGACATCTGAAAAACTTGTATAATTTCGACAAAAATCTCACATATTAAAATGAGTGAATAGTTTATTCTGAGAAAAGCAAAACAATAACTACAACAAACACTAAATTTATTATTAAACAAATAAAAATTTTGTATGCAAAAAAAACTAAAAATATTTAAAATTACTAACACACATATGGACGGTTTATTGAGAATGAAAAGTAAGTTTTTATGAGATTATTGAGCCGCTACATCAATTTGAGATAAGAAACTGGTATTAGCTGATGAATTCATTGGTGTCTGCTGTTGTTTTCTTAATCTTCTTAAACGTTCTTGATACAATGTTTGCATATGATAACGTAATGCCGTACTACGACGTAAAAGATCATGACATAAATCTTTTGATGATGCAAGATGTTGAGCATCATCCAATGACATTTTAGATAATTCAATTTGTGTACCAGATTCTGTTCGTAAATCAATACTTTTAGCGGATTTATCTAATGCTGAGCGAGCATTACCAAATCCAGCAATGCAATGCTAAATAAGAAACAAAAAGATAAAATAATATCAATTATCACACAATAATAGTCAGACATACATTAAACAGAGCAAAACTGTCAGTTGTATCTATGTTGGATCGTTTTTGCGGTTGAAATTTGTGTGTATTAGAATTCAAACGATATTTTGGAACGCTTACTCTAAACATAATAGAAAAAAAATCACAGATATTGAAATAGTTTAAAATAAACAACAAACCGAGCATATTGTGGCTCATAATTATTAGGCTCTTTCCGTAATGACAAACAAATTGGGCAACGACTTTGACCATTTGCATCTGGATTTGTTGGTATTGTAAATAAACGATCGTTTAATGTAAAATTATGGATACCTAAATAGAAGAAACAATTGCAGTCTTAAAACTTTTTATAAATCTCTTTTATCTACAAGTATGATCTTGACAATGAGATGGCTGGATCAACTCTAATTCTTTCGAAAAATCGATTAAATCTTTGTCACTAAAATTAGAAATAAAAATGTCTAAATAGTTTACAAAATGTGAAGAACAATTGTTAATTACTTTGTAAATGGCCACGACGCACAATCATCAGCATTTTTTTGACGAAAACTAACAAGATCATCCCAATAAGAATCAGGTTGTTCCATAATTGTACTATTTTTATTATCCAAGACACCTAAAACAAATGAAAAATGAAAGAAAAGTTATAATTATTTGTATTTAAATATACCAGCAACAAAATCATATCCAAGTAAAACTTTTTTTCTATTAAATTGTTGCTTTAAATTCGTATTGTTCATCGTTGAACTTTGCTTATTTGATAATTGCTGCTGTTCTTTAGAAGTCAAATGTTCACGATCATGAATACGTTTCTAGATAATAATAAAAAAAAGACAGTATTAAAGTGAAGTAAAGATTTGTTACATTCAAAATATATTGTTTACTTTAATTTGATCAACATCTTCGTTTACCCACGATTGTGAAGAGCTGAGATTCGTTCGTACTGTATTGTAAGCATCCCGATTATTTCCATCATCGAATAATGATCGCCAATGTTTTAACTAGAATAGAGGCGAATAATGTTTGTTAAAATATTGAAAGAATCATTCTTACTTCATTCCATGGTTGATTTCTTTTTGGAATTGAATCTTCATCGTTCGCTTTGCTATCTTCTTCGTCTATGATACTCTCGTCATCTTCTGTGTAGGAAAAATTCAGACATTTTCGTCTTTGATCTTGAACATTTTTCAGATATTCATCAATATTAATTCGGCTGACATTATCAGGTATGTTAATAACAAATGGTTCCCTATACTCTTGTCCATTCAAATGTTGTTTTTTCAATATCGATCGTGTTCGTTCACTCGAATTTGAAGCAGATAAGGCCGATTTTATCTCCTTAATATTAAAATACTTATGAAATAAACCTCATTAAAATCGAGTATTTTTTTACCTGAAGTCGTGAAGTAGATGGTTCAAGAAACGAGACACTTTTGCTCTTTTTTAATCCACTAGTGAGATTATTTGATTTTTCCTTCAATTCGGTTGTAGATGGAGGATAACAGGCCGATGATTGAGATGAGTTGTTAATGTTACGAAGTTGATTTAGGATTAAGGACTGTTGCGAATTCAAATTATTGATAAGACGTCGGCTTTCATTAACTAACTTCTCAGTTTGTGCCATTTCTTTTCGGGACAAACCAGAGCTCAAGATGAGAAGCAAACAAATTGACTTCTTACACTGTTTTCAGAGATGGATTCAGTTTGATTTTGCTGTGTACAGTTTAAATATGATTCGTTAGATTTTTGACATTATGGTGTGTATAAAAATTCACCTTTTATGTGAACATCTGAAATCCAATAGTGTTCATCATCATCAGTCTTATGTAAATCTTCACAAACCAAGTCGTTTTCTTAATCTATACACAAAAAAAACTTATATCTTTTATGTAAATTACTGTACACTAAAGCGGCATCTATTTCGAGTAGAAAGGTACAACTAGTGTTTTGCATTGGTTTAAGAACTGACGAAAAATAAAATTACTCACTCTCTAGGATTATGGGCAAGAAAAAAATTTGGAGAGACATTTAATCGTATGTGAAATGTTTATATGCTAAACACGTAATATAGTGTACTATTAGCATTTTTAGTTTTTTAATTTATTTTTTCTGTGAAATCTATTTAGCATGATGCACAACATCATGCTATGATATATGAGCGTGTAATACTTGTTATTAATCCGAATAATTTACACCTTGTACATTTATTTTCATCACTACACAAAAAAAAAAGTACGTTCCTGGTTATTATACTGATATTGTGTGTTTCACCTTCAAAAAGAGATTTCTTTCCTACTAGTTTGACAGAAATAGACTTCTTTTTTATTTAGTTATTTATTTAGACGAATTTATAAATGAAACATCGATATGTCTCCACCAGATAACAACACATCGGCTGATGAATTATTTGAAATATTTATAAATGCTCAAACAGCTAAAAGTATTTTACATTCATTTGAAGAATTGTGTAAATGTTTAAATATAAAACGAACAGAATATGGTAAAAGAATATTATATAAAGCATTATGTTCAAAATTAACAAGTTGGAAAGCAAAAAGTTTATGGGCAAAAATTGATAAACGTGCCAATCAAAAAGAATATGAAAATGGACGATCATGTTCAGAACTAAAAGTATGTATATATTGTTCTATTTTATATGAGATAGAAATCTTTAAAATAAATATTATTTTCACTAGTAAAAATTTTGTCGAGACTATTTCCGTAAGCAAAATAAATGGCTTGTTTTGAATTTACCAAGCTCAATATTTTTGACTTTTTCCTCATTATTATTTTTATTCAAAATACCTTCGCAAATAGCATGACGCAAAAAAAAATTATCGAACTCAGTGGCATATAAGTTTTCTTTCAGTTAACATATCATCTTAGGGTACAGAGAGTATAGAATAAACAGTTTTGATTTTGCTTCTTTCGCCATTTCCGGTTTTTTATTGCATGATGAGGACAATTATTTGATTTTGGTGTATATTGTTATTTTTTGCATGTGCATGCATTATTTTACTATGGTTCACTGACACAATAAATTAGTTTAACTAATTTAATGAGTGCTGTATATAAACATGCTTTGTACAAACAATGAAATTACTTTACTGTTATTTCTGTATCTAAAACTTCATATCAATTCTAAGGTGTAGTGAAAATAAGTTGTTTGGTTTATTCAATAATATTATTTTTTTTTGGAGAAAGATGGGGAGGCAAGAATAAATCCTTAGGAATAGATCAATTTCATACTTATGTAATGTATTGAAGAGTTTTAGTTTAATGACTTCTAGTTTCTCTGGAAGATAAACGATTGATTTTGTGAATAATTCATTCATTGTTTTATTTTTCAAGTAATTTAAGCCTATGTATTACTGTGTTATCGTTATAGAGTAGATAGTTGAAATTGTGACAGTTTTATCAGATTTCTTTCTGATTGCCGACACTTGTTTCTTCGCATTATACATAATCGACATTCATATACCAAGCCCGTTGTGTGTATTTAGACATTTATCTTTCTTTTCTCCGTTTCTTCGACACTTTATCGGGTATTATGTTACACATATCTTTTTTTCATCATCATCAAAACACCTAACCGTTCAAAAATGTGTTCATCACTGATGAAATAATTGAAATAATGTCAATAAAACAATAAAAGTTCAACAAGAGAGAATTATGATTATTATAATGAATTTTGCTTGAAGCAAAAAAAAAAAAAAGAAGAAAAATCAAATGTGGTACATAAATGATTAAATACTTAAGAACACCATAGGGTAGACCACTTATGAGAATAATTTCTACCTACTCTTTTTATTGACTGTTTATTAATCATTGAAACTTTTTTAAATAGAATTATATTTTTTATTCTTGAGATAATCTGTCGTGATTTAGATGAGAACTATGTGGCGTAAAAATAAAGTTTTTACTGTTTTAGACAAATAAATTTTAATTTTTAAAACGTGTGACATACTACAGATCAAGAAAAAAATTGTTTATATTATTAATTGCCAATACAACTTAGAGTCGAGCAGTTTAAGATGTATCACAGCTCTTTATGATAAGTATTTTAGAATCACGAGTGTGAATCATTTTCGATTAAAAAAAAATTGTATTTTGTCAGTTTTGAAGACACATTACCATTGTGAAACCAAAAACTAAGTTTTTGTTAACGTCACTGATCTTCTACGATTAGTACAATGATTCTTCTATGATTAGAAAAATGACTTATAATTCACTGCATTTACACTACAAAAAACATGGCATGCGACGATATCGCTCGGCTATTAAAATTTGTTTTTGAAAAAAAAATCTAAATCTAATTTTTCTGATCCAAATTAGATTGAATAAAAAATGAAATGACATCAAGTCGGACTGAATTATACGAAGTCCTTTATTGTTATGTGTAATGAAATTCTTGAATGCCCATAGGGCAGTTTATCTTCATTCTTGAATTAATAGAATCAAGCTGAAAACCCAATAGTGCCAACTTTCGGTGAGACGATACTATAAGAGTTAGAGGTAATGTTTGAACAATTATCATTTAGGTTTGTATTATCGGTGCTGGTCCATGTGGATTACGTTTAGCAATTGAATGTGCACTATTAGGTGCACGATGTATAGTTGTTGAAAAACGAGACAGGTAAAATTATTTAAAATTGATATGTAAATACTAAAAGTAATTTTATTTTTAACTTGTTATAGATTTTCTCGACATAATGTTCTTCATCTATGGCGATATGTAATTACAGATTTGAAGAATTTAGGTGCTAAATTTTTTTATGGTAAATTTGCTTTTGGCAGTATCGAACATATAAGTAAGTGATTTTAATTTTTTAATTTGTCGTTTTTTTTTATTATTTTTCTTCGCGTTAAGGTATAAGACAACTACAATGTATTTTGCTTAAAATTGCCCTATTACTTGGTGTAGAAATTTGTTATAATGTTACCTTTGAAGATTTTATCGATGCTACACCGACATCAGGTAGAAATATATTAATAATAATATATTTTTAAAACTAATTATTTTAATAAATTTTAGGTTGGCGAGGATTGTTTCTACCATCAACACATTGGATAAATACATATGAATTTAATGCATTGATTGGAGCTGATGGTAGAAGAAATTCATTACAAGGTTTTCATCGCAAAGAATTTCGTGGTAAATTGGCAATTGGTGTAACGGCAAATTTTGTTCATCATCATACACGAGAAGAACAACTCATTGAAGGTATTTTTGAGAAGAAATAATTCATATGATTATAATTTGATTCATTGATATTTTAATATTTATAGAAATTTCTGGTGTGGCACGTTTATATAATCCACAATTTTTTCAAGAATTAAAACAACAGACATCAATTGATTTAGAAAATATAGCCTATTATAAGAATGATACACATTATTTTGTTATGACAGCAAAAAAACAAAGTCTATTAGAGAAAGATGTGATAAAAAACGATTATCCAGATGCCATTCGTTTATTAGCACGTGAAAATGTTAATTTCGAAGCACTCTGTAATTTTGCATGTGAAGCAGCACAATTTGCGACAAAAACAACAGCATCAATATTTGAATTTGCGGTAAATTTTAAAATAAACATTTTTAGACATTATTAATATAATTTGCTATTTGTTTATTTAGGAGAATCACTACGGATTACCCGATGTACAAATGTTTGATTTTACATCATTGTTTCATGCAGTAAATGCTAGTCGGATTGTCGAAAGAAACGGAAAACGTTTATTTATGGCATTAGTTGGAGATTCTTTGCTTGAGGTAAGATAGTAAAAGATTTTCTAATTTTTTTTAAACTCTTTCTTTTTTAGCCTTTCTGGCCATTAGGTACAGGAATTGGTCATGGTTTTCTAGCCACATTGGATACAGCATGGGTATTACAAAAATTTGCCAAAAATGAATCACCATTGAAAATATTAGCCGAACGTGAAAGTATCTATCTATTGTTATCACAGAGTACACCTGAAAATACAAAATCGAATTATCAATTATATACAATAAATCCAGCATCAAGATATCAACATTTAAATTCAAAACGTTGTACAATAGAAGAAATTCGTCATTTATATGATAATAATAATAATGTTGAATATTCAATTGTTGATAATAATAATAATTTGGTAACAAATCATGTACAACAGCACCAAAGTGATAAACATTCAAAAACCGGTAAGAATTTTTCGTGAGAAAGATGATTAGTTTTTTCTTTGACTTATTTTACTTGCAGGTGGTATTTCAAATGAAAAAATATTGAATTGGTGTCAAATGATAACAGAACCATATGGGTTACAAATAAAAAACGATACTCAAGCATTTAACAATGGACTTGCCTTTTGTGCAATAATTCATCGTTTTCGTCCAGAATTAATGTATGTTGCTCGTATATATTTGCCATCATATCTTCTACTTATAGATGACTGTCGTTTTAGTGATTATAAATCATTGCAACCCGAACGTTCGATAAGCAACTTTCAAATCGTAAGCTACTATTCTACAAGATTATGAACTATAATCGTTCTCCTGTTGAAACGAAACTTGTTCTCAATTTAACATAACAATTTTTCAAGATTTTTTTAATATGTTACAGAAATAATCTAAATGAAAACATAGAAGAATCGATAAATGTTAAATCCCATTAAATAAAAGCAAGCTAGTAGAAGCCATTGTTTATATGTACTTTTCATTTTAGTTGTTTGATATTTTACGTGAAAAACTTCATATTCAAATTGAACGTCAAATTCAAAATCAATTGTTATTATTACCAAAAAATAGCTCTTCTGATAACAGTATAAATGATTCAATAATGGTTTTACTTACACATTTATATACTCATTTTCATCTCACAACGTTGCCCCCTTCCTCCACACCGCCTGAACCAATAAAATATAATTTATCCATTCGTCGTTCAAGCACACCTTTAACACCATCAACAAATGAAGTTGTTTTAAAACGTTCGGAGTCTGTTACTGATAATGAAGGCGTAAGTCAATTTTCTCTTTCTCTATAAACATTCATTTATTGTTGTTGTTATCTTTTCCAGAGTGCTGAAAAACGTAGATCAATGAAAGAAAGTGAACTAAATACGATGACAAAAAAAAAAGTTGATGATAATAATAGTGTCAAAGTTAGCGAACTTATTGCTCATTATACAATGACGTCACCTATTGGAGTAAAATGTAATGTCAATAATAATGCATATCATTCGGTAATAATAATTACATATTCTATTAATCTTGTTGTTTATATGAATAAAAACATATTTATATATTTATTTTTTAAGAATGGTAGTGTAACAGCACAACCAACATTTTGTTTTTATTGTAAAGATAGAGTCCCAATTCAAGAATGGTTTCCAATTGAAAATGTTGTACTTCATGTTCGTTGTTTTCGTTGTGAAACATGTCAATTGCAATTACGAAAAACAAATTATCAATGTATTACTGATCCTATTAGTGGAAAACGTAAGTGTTTCAGAATGTGAAACAAAATGATTAAATATTTTTTCTTATTATTTTTTGTTCTATAGTTTCATTTCACTGTCGATATCATAATCTTAATGACAAATTAAACAGAGCGAAAGATAATCATGTAGTACGTATACTAATGTTTTTTTATCTTTGAGAAATTCGTAGTACAAATAACCTTTATGTTTTATAGGACGGAATAACGCGATCAAATGGCGTCGGTAAGTGTCTTTTAATGAATATATATATAGACTGTTTTTCATGTGAAAACTAGTTTTAGTCATTCTATTTATCGTTTATTCGTAGTACGCTTTTAATAACGCTTCAAAACTATACGTCCTATTTAATTAAATATTACAAAAAGACTATTAGTCGGTCGAATAAATAATAAGAGATCGAAAAAATTGCAAAACTAAATTCGGAATAAAGAAAAACAAGATGATTTATCTTTTCTGTCGAAAATGACATCGTACATAAAAAACGATATTCTTGATGTGTTTAACGTAGATTTGAACTCTAAATAAAAGCTAACTGATTATGTGCATACTAGACTTCAAAACCATAACCGAAATAATTTAACTTTATTCTGAATATTTTCAAAAAATATCCTTCATTAAAAAATATCAATAGAATGAATCTTAGCACTATTCTAAACACCAATATGTTATTCTACGTAAAATATAATCGAATTATTCCCTTTGTGTTACATGAATATATACAGTATTGTGCAAAATTATAGACTTATCTGTCCAAACCCAGTTGTTTGAACACTCTCGACCACTGTACACTCTTGTGCAAAGAAAAATCTTTGTGACTACATACATTCGAGTATGCTCTATCCGAATATGAAATCCGATTTGCTCAATACAACTTTCATGTTCGACAAAAACAAATGTTTATTGAAACCCGTCGTATGTTTTCCTGTTTACAATTATAGGCTCGATATCATATATTCGCTATTTTTGTACCAAAGAAACATATGGACAGATGGAGGACTTATTTCTGAACATTTTTGATAAAAAAGACTTTAAGAAATGATCTACATTTGAAGTTATTATTAGATTTTATTGAACAAGCCAAAATAGCTTGAAAACATCAGCCAAGTTGAGTATTTTTGACTACGAAATTTGAAATAGACGACATGTTGTCCTTCAAAATGAGAGAAATTCACGAGCTCCGTACGTCATGTCGTTACAGAGAAACATGTGTCAAAACACGTGTCACATTTTGACAGTAAAAAAGCACAGAAAGTTGAACACGTGAGTCTATAATTTTGCACACTACTGTATATATTTTCAAACCATTGTCATTACAGTTTAAAATTCGTAACATTACTTTACACATTAGATATAGTCATTAAAATTTTACGTAAAGTAATATATTTATATTACTTTATATATTGTATCAAAGGTTAAATATAAATAAATGAAATAAAACAACGAATCGACAATTTTTCTATAACTTTGACTGATTTATGTTGATTTTCATATTAATTCGTTATCATCTATAAAAACAACATTTTATGAATATAATCACTAAACATCCATATTTTATCACACAACGTAGGCATCAACATTCTAATTTGAACTCAAAGATATTAAGATACACAGATAGAACGATTGTATAATTGTTAATTAACATTACAAGATAAATATAAATCGATGTTTAAATAAACAACATAATAATTTTAATATTTAAACATTTCTTGAAAGAGAAAAATTAATAGTTTTTTGTATTGATATTTGGATGACATTGATCACCGTTCTTTTCTTCTTTTTTTTTTTGCAACAATAATAAATGTTCACCGATAGAGAATGAAGTACGATTGTGCTATAAAGAGAATATATGACGATTCATGTAGCTCAGCAACTGTTAGATAATATTTAATATTTAAAGTACAAATATTCCATTTTTTTTTACTTGAACTTAACTCAATGAAAGAGACTATGATATTAAAAAAAGACCAAAGTTGAATAGTCAAGCAATTTTTCTTGATTATCTATTCAATTTTCGTTTGAAGAATGTACAGAAATATAAGAATAAATGTTGTAAATCTCGTCTAAAACGTTTACCTAAGACAAAATATAATATGAAATTGATTGAATGATTAATAATCATTAACATTTTTGCTATAGTTTTCATTAATGTTAATTTTGGAGATAAATGTTGTTTAATTGAAGTTGTTAATAAGGGTAAATCAGAGATTGGAAATGTTGTTGATCTTGTTTTTGTACGAATATAAATATTAATAACCACTACTGGTAATGTTAATAAGAGAAATGAACATGATACAAATATAAGTATAGTCGTCAATTTTGTATTATTAACATAGCATCGATGTTTTTGTGGTTTACGATTATCATTTAAAAATAGATGATGATTACAACCACATTCTAATAACATTATTTCATGTTTTTTTTCAATATAAAATTTTGATTTTCGACGTTGCATTTCAAATGATAAATTAGTAGTAGTTGTTGAAATATTTGATGGTATTGTTGTCTTTTTTTCAAATAAATTTCGTTTATCTTTTGCTGATAATTGTTGAAGATATCGTCTTGATCTTATACAATTATTTGAATCACTATCAGAATAACTTGTTTTTGTTTCAGATGATGAATGTAGATGAAAACAATAATTTGTATTAGTATAATAATGTTGATGTCGATGAATATAACGATGATAACGACATCTATTGATAGAATTAAAATTTGTCATTTTTTGACGAAATCGTTGAGCATCAATTAAACGTTTGATAATTAAATAATTTAATATAATAATTATACTAAATGGTATTACACAATAGATACTTAAATCAATATAGAGCCATATATTTTCAATGAAATATTCTGATGATGATGTACTAACATAACAATCACTACTATCGAGTACTTCATATTCATATTCAGTAATTGAACCATTATGATACGGTTTTAATATCATTAAAAGTTGTTGATGAAAACGATTAAATAAAAATAAAAAATGACTATCTAATAAAAATAAAATAATTATTAATATTAGAATAACAAATTTTGTATTTCGAATTGTATTTAATTTATGTGCTATGAGTGGATATTTAACAGCAATATATCGTTCAACTGTTACAGTAACGACTAGACCGGCTGATAAATGACTTGTTAAATAAACTAAATGTGGTATGACACGACACATTATTTGTGATGTTAATTTAAAATCCATTTTATACAATGTTCCTAACCATTCGAATGAATTAATTAATAAAAATGAAAAATCAACTAATGCTAAAACGGTTAAATATAAACTTGATGGATAACCTTTTTTAACATTGCGACACATAATTAAAAATGATAAAAAATTACCGATTGTACCACACAATATAATTATCGGATATATATATAATTTTAATATATTTACCGTTTGTTGAAATGAAGTTGTTGTATTCGATAAAGCCACAACATGACATGAATTATTTAAATTTACATTATTATTAACATTTAATTTACATTGTATTAATTGATCATTTGTTTTATAGAGTTTATGAAGACGTTGTCGTTCATCAGCTGTTATTTGAAGTATATACTCAATCAGTAAACCAAAACTTGATCCATTATTAACCATCTCTATTAAATGTTCTAAAATAATAATAAAAAAAAATCACATAATTATCGAATTAAAATAGAAGAAAAAATAATTTTGTAAAAAAATCAATTTTGAAAAGTGTGAGAACACACGGACATTTTTTAATAATCGATCAGTATATAACAATATTTAAAGTCTATGATCAAAAAGTTTTGAACAGTTATATATTAATAGATATACTCACTTATTTTTATTTTGTTATTGTCAACTGCGTAGTAGTACTAGTTTAGAGTATAATTAGAAAAAAAGACATGAATGAAGCTTTGATATTTTTATCGTCTTCAAAGAAGATTTTTTTTTTTCTCCGTTTTTTTGATCTCATAATTTAAACTATTTTTAATTTATATTCATACAGTACCTGTTCTTTGGAAATAAATTAAAAGACGTAGTTTGGTTTTTTTCACTTTTTCACGCACGTATTTTCGTAAATTATCTCTTATTTCTTTATATTACTTTGAAAATACATTTTCTTTACAAATCAAACTAACTTTTGTTTTCTGAGAAAAAAGAAAAAGAAAAGAAAGCTTGTTTTTTAAAGTCATTTTTATTCCATTTATTGTCTTTTTCTCTTTAGCATCTCATTTTTCTTTTTTTGTTGCTTACTTAGTAGATAGAGAGCCTATTCAATGGATTAGTAAAGAAGAAGAAACAACTTGACGTCAAAATAGATTTTTAAACTTACGCAACAAGAGTAGAGTTTTTCATTCACGGTTAATAGTTTCTAAGGTTCTCGCCAGTGTCGATGTGAAAGTAACTGCATTAATTAAAAGAAAAAGAAAAATAAAAAAGGAAGAAGAAATTTTTTTTGGTTTTATTTTCCGAACACTATTTACGTAACATCAAGTTTTCTTTTTTTTTCGGATAGATCGGTAGTTTTGTGTCTTTGTTTGTTCATAAGGTTTATTGACTAGAAGAGTATGAAAAGAGAGATAGACGATTATAGAAGGTCATTCAACCAAGACTATGTCTGTTACACAGACAACAGTGTCAATTATTCACACAAAAACATTGAAAAATACATTGAATGTTCATCACAGTCATCTCGCACTTTTTAAATGTAATTAATAAAAATTGATTGGGTACAGTAATGGCAATATATACAGAGTTTTTAACCTACAAAATCTGAAATGTGGGAAAAAAATCGTAAAAAAAGAAAATAATTTTTATTGTTTTCAAAAAAAACAACAACTCTTGACCTCCATATAAATGCATTTAGACACATGTAAAAGCTAAAAATTACTGAGTTCCTCACCTATTAATAATATGAATACGTGTTCGAACAAGCACTATGCGATTTCTTGATTAAAAGAGTACACAACATAGAAAAAGCAAAAAGAGTGATAACCCTGAATATACTCTCTCATTATGAGTAAAAAAAACAAACGTTCACAAACAAAATATATTTCTGTTTGTGAGTAGATGTGGAGCAAAGCATTTCATTTATTTTTGGCCTTAATCTGTGAACGGGAAAAAACTGTGTATTACACAAGGTTGTTGAACAAAGTAATGGAAATATGTTGTTTTCTAACCATTTAGCATATGTAATATCAATCTGTTTTGTATATAAATATGCGTCAAACTGTGCGAAATATAACTCATAATGATCTCAGTTTGAATAAAATCTTTTGTTTATATTTTTGTATATCTCTATACAGACGAATGATTCTAAAAAGAATTAAAGACATTGTTTGATCTAGAAAAATAATACAAACATAAATTGTCTTTGTTTAGGTTTGGAAAACAAGGGACAATTAGCATTTGATGATAACGACAAAACAGTGAATAATAATGACAATAAGAATAAAAAACAAGCTTCTTCTCCAGAAGAACAAATACGGCAGTCATCAATTTCATCTAAAAAATTATTACTTACAAATTCACCGCAAACAAACGAGCGTGCATCATTTAGTTTAGAAGCAACATTTGATCAAGAAAGACAATTATCAAAAAGTAAAAATAGAATTGTTCAACAAGAAGAAGGAAATAATAACGATGATGATGGTAGTAGCGATGAAATTGTTTACAGTTGTGCATTATCTGAAGAAATTGTGAATGAAAATGAATCTAGCTCTAATTCATCTATGGATGATAATGAATTATCAGATGAAGAGGAGAATTCTTTACCTTTGGATGATGACGATGATGATTCTGTACTGAAATCAGATACATCGAAAAGTAACTCACAACGTGGTGCATCTGATTTTCAGCAGATTGAAAGTACTAATGATGAATCGCGGAGAAAAGCATTTTTGAGTGTTGGTAAGTTTCATTTAATATTAAGTTATTGATTAATAATATTGAAAAATATTTTTTTAATAGATTCTGGTCACGTTGCATCAGATTCTCCATCTGATTTATCACCATCTACATCACCATCATGGAAGAAACATACATTATCAAATATTACGCTAAAACCAACTTTGTCAGCTCCAGTTAACATAGAGAAACCTATTGTAAGAGTAATGACTACTATTCGTTTCAAAATATAGCATCCATAGATGTATTTTTAATAACTTTCGAAGAAAAGAAGCTAGTAGCTTGCGGATTTTGCTATTCGATAGAGGAAAATTGAGAACATCGATATCTATGGAAAAATAAAAATAATAATACCAACTGCGGATGGTGTACCTCATCAACACTTTTTAGGTAAGACTAAAAACGTTTCGGATTTTGAATAGCGAAAAGAGGGTTTCAACCAGCGGACCTCGGGTCACATAACTACACAAGTCTTAAGCTTTCATCTAGTGTGGTTCAAGCACTACAAACTTCTCCGTAGACCTACCTATCTCAGTCGGCTTCGCTCTGATAACCTTAAAAACAACTCCAAACGTAGATGATATAACAAGCAGAAATTTGAATCAAACTGAATCTGGTCCTGCAATGAAGATTAGAAAAAAACTTTTCTTAATCTAAAAGATGTCTAGAAAACCTTCTCAAAAACCAGATGCTTTCTATAGATTCCCAAAACTTCTCTTAAAGTCCAGGATATATGACAGATTTTGACTAAGTTATGAAATTTTTAGTTTTCGGTGAAAATAGTCAAAAATGGGTGATAGTACAAATCTTTGCTACGTTTTTGAATTTTCTTCTGGAAACAAACATTGTCACGAGACTAGCATAGTCGAAAGCCTATGTTCTGAGCTGTTTTTAAAGTTATCATAGCGAACCCGACTGAGATAGATAGGTCTTCGGAGAAGTTTGTAGTGAACCACACTAGATGAAAGCTTAAGACTTGTGTAGTTATGTGACCCGAGGTCCGCTGGTTGAAACCCTCGTTTCGCTATACAAAATCCGAAACGTTTTTAGTCTTACCTAAAAAGTGTTGATGAGGTACACCATCCGCAGTTGGTATTATTATTTTTATTTTTCCATAGATATCGATGTTCTCAATTTTCCTCTATCGAATAGCAAAATCCGCAAGCCACTAGCTTCTTTTCTTCGAAAGTTATTTAAAAACAACGTTCATGGATACTATATTTTGAAACAGATAATAGTAAGCTTGCACCGATTACAATTATTAATCGATAACCGTGGATAGCCCAGTCGAACGGTTAATTACTGACTCGTCACTTAAAGGGCGACCGGTTAAGATCGGTTAATGACTAGAACTCACTTATATTGCTTGCTTTAGATTTCAGTTTTTTTATTTTAGACTTATTTTCGCAGTCCATGTTTGAAGTGTGGCTCATCAACTTATGGCGAAGATGTTATTTCCGTTGAAAAACATTATTTTCATAAACATTGTATTATTTGTACAATTTGTGGAAAAATATTAAAAGAGAAAGAATATACATTATTTGATAAAGCGAATGACGGAACGATTCAATTTTATTGTACACTTGATTTTTGTAAAAGACGTTTAAAACAGGTACAAACGAATATAGCTGCAAATATTCAGAGCGGTATGTATTCCATTTTGGTGTCAGACATTGGACACTTCTGCAGTATGTACATTTTATCTAGAAAAACAACGTCATCGTCTATCAGACTTACCACGTTTGTATCCTGATCTAAGTTATGATAACAGAGACAATAATGAGACTAAAAATCGAAGAAATACAACAACATTAACTACACCACCATCGTCAACTACGTCTGCTGTTCCACAGCAATCACTTACATCGTGGGCAAATAGTTTTCGTCTGTATCCATCGCTCACAGATGCTCTATCAAAAAAATCACACCCGTTAAATGTTGTCAAATTACCATACGCAGATGATGATGAAGAGCATACAAATGGACATGAGAAACCATCATCAGATACCATTATTGGTAAATTTAAACAAATAAACGCAATTTTTTACTTTTTATTGAATAGTTCAATTATTTAGGTTGGAAAACTGAACTATTTGATGACTCGACAGCAAAATTGACTCAAAATTTAGCAGCGACAACGTTGAATAAAACAACTGATAGTAAACAACGATTTAAAAAAAGAGCTCGTAATAGACCGCATACACCACCAATGCCGGATACATTCACCAATGAAACACAACACGTAAATGAGTTAGAAACTGGCGTTCTATAGTATATTTATGCAATGCTTCTCTTCATTTTAGTCTTTAACAATTGAGAAAGACTTAAATCAAAGTATGTTGACTAACTTGAATGCATTGGACACTCAATTTTTACAAGCTCTTTGTAATGATAATTGAGTTCTACTGTGGAATTCGCAATGAAAAATTCTTTATAGTATATCTTATTGAAAGCGATGCTTTTGACATTTAGATTATGATTTATCTAATATGACAAATTTATCCTCAAATATTGATAATTTATCAACATATTTAAAACGAAATGATTTAAAAGAGAATAGTCCAATGACAACATCAATTAATCGAAAAAAGAAACCACTTCTATTATCGCCTTCTGTCACGCGTTCATCCTCATCCTCATCTCATCGTTCATCATCTATTGATCTATTGAACATGACTGAACGTCAAAAGAAACGTCTTGAAGAAAAACGTCAACGTGATTTACGACAACAAGAATTAAAGCGTTTGCGTGTATCCCAAGAAATTCAACGTGAATTAGATGAAATTGATGTAAAAAAAGTTGAATTAGAAAATCAACATGCTGATGTACAAGAATCTTTAGGTAACACAAAGTTGTTTTAGAGTAATTTCTCACTCACGTTTCATGAATTTTTTCTAATTTAGCCATTTGTGATAAAAACAAACAAAGCTACTGGGAGGGAGAATATTTGCGAATCGTTCAAGAAAAACATGCACTGCAACGTCTTGAAGATGAATATATTATTGCTCAAAAAGCTTTGACATTGACGAATGAACAATCACGAACACAGCAAGAATTAAGAAGATTGTATAGCGTGCCAGGTTAGTTTCAACGAAAATTTGTTTTCCTGTAAATTCAATATCAATTTATTCAATCGTCGTATTTCTAGCTGAACAAAAAACGACGGACGATAAACAACGTGAAGAACAATTGCTTGCAAAAAATACAGAATTAGTTAGTGAACGTGATCGATTGACAAACGAAATTGATCAAATTCGCCTAAGGTTTGTTACTACAATTTGAAACTTATTTTTTCTTTCTATTAATAATCCAAATACTGAATTAAAGAGAATATGTTAGCTCCAAATTTTCTTTTCCAGGTGTCAAAGTTTTCTTGAGCAATTAAGGTGAGAATACAATATGTATTGTGATTGTTACAGTATTATCAAACACCTGTGATTACTTTTAAACATTTAAATAATATTCATTAATAGTCATTAATCACTAATTTCCTATGACTATAGATTGGATAACTTTCTTATACTAGTTGTGCACATTCTTTGACTAACGAGAAAGAAAAAACTAATAAAATTATCCTATAATTTGAAAATTTCAGAGAGTTGAATTGAGCATCACCGTAGCGCATGTACTTCTTGTAGTTTATTATTGTTGTTGTTGTTGTTGCACTGCGACCTCCTTATCCAAGTAGATACTTTTAGAGATATGTAGAATAGGCAAAATGCAAGTAGAAATGAGTATAGATGAGTTGACGAATCTGCGATATGTTAAGCGAAAAACAATTATATATCGTGTAAAGCATTAATTTTTACTTTCACATCTTTGAAATGAGGCATTTTGTTTAGCATCACTGAACACTAATTAGTGCGACACATTTTTCAAATTATTCAACATGTTAATCATTTATTTTCCAGCGACATATCCGGTCTACTGTGCGAGATAGGTTACATTCTATGAACAGAATTTCCTAAACAACGACATATTTGTTCAATTGTGACTTTGTCCGATAGTCAAGTTTGTTACACACTTTGCCCACTATTGAAATGTTCTTTTGATTGTACCTTGATATATCGATCCATGCTCTGATGTGTCGTTTTTAATAAAATCAAAAGTATTTATTTTTACTGTAAATTGCGGGGTGTACTAAATACTACTGCTGTTAAATAGCTTGTTTAGGCATACAAAAATCCCAAGTTGGGGCTCGTTGATCGGCAGCGATCGCCACTGGAAGTTTAAAAGAAATAGTTTGTCAAAGCTAAGAACACGAGAGCGATAAAACACATAAAAGAAACCCCTGTAAAACAGAAAAAATGGTGAAGATTACAACAAACGAAGGACACGCATGATTATACCGCAGCAGTAGGTAGTCATGTAAAGACAAGTCTGAATTAGAGCGGCCACATTATATTTGTTTTACTAAACTAAGTTCAAAGCACCTTTAGTTTCCATTATATCCTATTGATATTTACTCTCTAAGTAAAGCATACTTTACCTGATGTGGCCTCTGTAGCAGATTGATTTGCTTTGCTTTTATGCAATAATGCTTTACGTAACAGTTCCTCCACAGAGCGCTTGCCAATATCTCCGATGAGAAAAATATAAACTATCTTATTCGCAATCTTCGTTCGAACACGTTCGGTAGCGAACCATCGAATTGGTGCATACCTACGCTGGATCATAATGAATTATAATACATTTATCCGATTGAAATGTGTGCGCGTTCTTGATTCGTAGTACGGCCATTCCGCATACTCTGCTACTGGAAAGGTGATTGCATTACCGCTTTTAGGAAACTTCAAAACGTTATAACTTTTTGAGAAAAAGTCGTGGAGAGCTGTGCAACCGTTCATTAAAAAGAAGATTCGAAGTTCTTCAAAACTGGATTCAAGCAAACTCCCGAAAAGTTTTCGTTCGGACGATATATCAAGATAACTGGAAGGGACTATTTTGAAAAAAGTCTAGTTGAGAGATTTCTCTTTTCTTCACGGTATCGCCCGAACAAAAAATATCCAGTTTTGAAGAAGTTCGAATCTTCTTTTTAATGAACGATTGCACAACTCTCCACGACTTTCTCAAAAAGTTATAACGTTTTGTAGTTCCCTAAAAACGGTAACGCAATCATCTTTCCGGTAGAGTTACGCGGAATGACCAGGTAGATTCTCTTGTGTGTGTGTGTGCGTGTGTGTGAATGTCTTTCACAAATGCTGCTGTGCAAAGCATTTTCTTTTCTATTTTTTTACTCTGTTTTGAATTTTAGAGAACTTGAAGAAGACCAACAGATCACAAAAGCCTACCAGTTACATGGCGTACATCCGATACCAAAGCTGATCTCGGGCGCGCTCGACATTTTGAAAGATATTGTTTGAATCAATCAGCAATCAATCAGCATACACATGCACCTCTCTTTTAGCTGTTTACTGTTTTCTATGAGGTTTTTACTACGTTTAAATGAGGTTTTTGTTTAGACAGACATGTTTATTGCTTTATCCATTCTCTCTTAGCTCTGTCAAGTGTCAGTTTAAGCAAAAATCTTTTTTTTATTGTCGTATTTGGCATATTTATATCAATCTATTTTATTGTTTCTGCCTTATTTATTGTATTACTCTCTTTTTGTTTAGTTTGCAGATACGATATTAAGATAGATTATCAAAAATGCTTAGCATTACTACAGTTGTATCACAACTTTTCTTTCAAACTATTAGACTAAACAGTCTGCTTTTTTAAAAATTCATTTCTTTCTACCTTTTAATATTATCGTTCTCTTTACCTTACTATAGTTATTTTCGATTGTTTTACTTTTTACTGTGTTCAGAAGAGTATAACTCTTTCATTTGTGCCAAATTTCCAAAGTGCTCTTTTTCTGACTGATTAAATGTTTTTTTCATATATTTTTTGTTTGTCGTTTCAGCGAAAACAGTATTTGCGAATGTTCTTTCTTGTCTCTCTCTTTCTATTGAATGTTTTTTTCGACGTCTTGTTGTTATTGTTTAGTACCATGTACAACTATACAAAAAAAATGTTCAAAAGAACTGTTTTTTTGTTATCGTTGCTGATTGTGTTTCTTATATATGTTCAACAGCGTTCAAGAAATGAAAAATGCATGATTTTTTATCTTGTCCTCTACTGCCGGATCTTGTTTGTATCCGTTTTTTTCTTTTTTGTTATTGAAATATAAAATGAAATTATTGATCACATGTATTCAACTTCAGATTTTGCAAATAAGATAGAAACCGTGAATCTGAATCATAGATAGAGATGTTGATCCTTTACTGTTTCTTCTTGCCATCCTCTTGTTCCTGCAGTTTGTAAATCTCTATCACCATAGGAAAGTGGCTCTTAACTGTACTTGACTCTGAAAACTTAAAATTAGTCTAAAAAATGTGATTATTTTTTATTGCCAATTAAATGGATGTCATTTGAAATAAATAGTTAGAAAAATGAGATGATAGAGATGAGTACAGCTATGAATTGCACACATACGTACACACAATCAGATGGAATGTAAACGAATTTTTGAGTTTAGCTTATCCGACAAGAGTAATCTAAGATCGAGAGAAAAGAGAAAAACACATTAGAAATATTCATAAGTCTGACTGCGGACAATTCGAATCTTTTAATTTGTTAATTGACATGACAGTTTTTGAAACTGTACCAATAGTTTCATTTAAAGTCGCTGTTACATTGATATCGTGAAGAAGTTGCATGTTCTTTTTCACCGATGGTCTGCTTTCACGATCATTTGGTTTATTATAAACAACTGATCTTGAAAAAGGAATAGTGGTTGTCGTTGTTTTACGGTTATTAAATTCTTTTGCTACAAATCCATTTGTACTTGTATCTGTATGTTTTGACACTGGCGCTACTTTAGCTGTTGGACGTTTAAAAAATGATTCATTTTGATATATATTTGATGCTGGTGTATTGGAGATGGATCGATCAGGCAATGCACTAGTTGATGGTGAAGAGTCGTAAAACTGTGTTGTTAGACGCGTGGAAGCATAGGCCGATAGTGGCTAAAAAAAAAGCAAAATTAACTTCAAACGAGTGTATTGCTAATATTTCGCTCTAAACTTACTCTAGAGTGACTTTTCGATGATGTTTCATTTGATGCTGTTTTGGGCGATATAGCCGGTTTACGATCATCTGTTAAATAAAGCGCAGCGGTTGAAATACTTTGAGGGGGTGATGTCGGTGGAGTGTCATTACTAGTTTTAATTATTCCACGAATGGCACCTGTACCTGTGAGCGCTCCGCAAATGTAACGAGCATCACCTTTCTCAATACGTTTAGTATGCTTATTTTCGGTCAATAATAAACCTTTTTCAACGTCTCCTGTTATTAATTCATCTAGAAATGTAACACTTTTTGAGCGTTTTTTATTTCCAGAATTAAGTGAACTGTTTGTGGAAAATATCGTCGTTTCTCTTCGTGTTGGAGATGTAGAATCGACATTATGTTGATCGCTGTATTCACTGTGCGGTCTTAATGATTTTAATTGGTCTTGTCGTTGTTTGTTTGATGTTGACAGTGATACATTTGATTTCTGTGTCTGTTGTTGCCTTGCAAAAATTTCTGCCTCAATTTCTGAACGTATTTCATCAAGTGTCGCTGTTGGTTTTGATTTGTTTTTTGATTCATATGTGAGCTTGCCAAATCTTGTTGTGATTGTTGGTACTGGTACTGCCGTATCATCTAATAGGTTTTGGATAGGATCCAACATCTCATAGATATGACTTTTGTCATCTCCATCGTCCTCTTCAATATCACCATCATTAAAACTATCGTCATTTTCGTCACCAAATAATCGTTTTGCTACTATTGATGATTTTGAGACGGTTGATGATCCCATATTATCTTTTGCCCATTTTTTTCGTCGTTGTTTTGTCTGTTGTTTTTCTACTTCGGTATCACTAGCAAATTCTTTTTCTGTACGACGTCGAAATAGACGAAAACGACTTGTTTTTGATTTTGTCATAGTACCACCAGCTGTTGTTTGTGTTGAACAATTTGAATCAATCGATTCAGTATCTTCGGTATCAAAACTTTGATCATTGGTAAACGTCGCCCCTCCTATTTTCTTTGCCGCTTGTTTTGCTTTAATACTCCTTAAACTTTTCTTTTTTGATGAATCAAATACTTTACTTGGCTGTTGATTAGTATTTT